ACTGTGTGCGTGCTGCGATGCAAAAAAAGGCTAATATGTGTCCCTAGTCTGGCGACAAACCCCCCCCCATTATGAGAGGTCCATCCTCCATCTTTTGGACCTGCTCCACTTTCCAGAAAATGTGTGCTCAAACAGGCTGTCTGGAGATTTTCCCTTCATGACATCACAAAGGGCAGTAGCCCCTCCCCCAGGTGGGTGACACTCCCACAGCTAGGTGTTTGTTCTCCCCTCTGAGTCTGCCTTCTCAGCATAAACAACAGGACACGGAGGGAGAAATCCAGAGCCACCTAAGCCCTTCTAGAGAGGGGGTGTGGTCAGACACAGCTCATTTAATATTTAAAGGTACAGACACAGAAACAGCCTGTTCTGAGCAGGGCTGAAATAGAGGGATTTATAGACATGATCAGAGTGGATTTAGAACAAGAAACTTCACACACGTTTTGGTGAACTCTAAGACTTTTCTAAACTGGTTGAAGAGGAGGACAACGTGAGCTTTAAAAAAATGTTTTTATAGATTTATTTTTGTGCATTTTGTGCCTTTATTAGAGACAGGACAGTGGACAGAGTAGGAAATCAGGCAAAGAGAGAGGGGATTGAAATGCTGCAAATGAGCCACAGGTCGGACTCTAACCTACTTCGTGGACCTGAGCCTCCATACATGGGGCGCGTGCACTAACCACCAGCCACTGGCGCCCAGATTGTGAGAGATTTTCCATGTTTCATAAACTTCTTTAAACTTAACATGGAAATGTGACTTGACAGAAAGACTTTTGGACTCTATGGTATGGGTGATGTGTTTGGAGAATGACAATACTGAGCGTCAACAGAATAAATCCCTCACCATGGAGTCCAGACTCTGGTGGTGGTGAAGCTGACGACTTGATGAGACCGGATGGCTGAAGAATTGATGGATGATGATTCTGTGAAGACGGAGCGGTGGAGGGGCTCATGAAACATCAGCCTGAAGGAATTTAGAATCATATTTAAAAGGGGAGCGATGATAGGTTGAAAATGAGGGAGGAAGGCCATGCGATTGGTTAGATGAGTGACACTGACGACACAGCTGATTATCCAATGACAGCCCCAGAAAATGACAGCGGAAACATGAGTGAGCGTGCAAAAAGGGATGAATGAGAAAGACCCGATCATGAAGGCAGTTAAATATTCTTCCTGACTGAACTTACGCTAGAGCTTCATTAATAGTAATAACACTTATAATATATTTAATTTATATAACACCTTTCAAGGGACCATTTCACATAAAGGGGCAACAATAAGAACCAGACTGAGAAGAGTAATAAAGGTTGGGAGTCCGATGGTGAGGCAGAGTTGACAGGTAGACTGTGGTGAACAAATTTTGTCTGAGGAGTTTTTTTGTTTTTTTTAAATGTGTCCAAAGATGGAGTATTGTGCAGATGTCAAGGTGTGTGAGAAAAAACATCAATACTTTCTAGTTTCTTCAACCTCTCCTCAGCATCAACAAACGTTTTCCTGCAGGCATTAAGAGGCTGCTTGAAAACAGAATAAGAGTGAACGTCCTGCGCATAAATGCTTTTTTTTTTTTTTTTTTTTTAATCCTTACAAATAAATCTCTTTTAAAATAAGATAATCCTTTATTTATCCCACAACGGGGAAATGTACATTGTTACAGCAGCAAAGAGCAAAGACTGCAAACAAAAAGTGAACGCAGTACAATTTAAATAAATAAATAAAAATTAAAAATGTACAAAAAAATTGATTGATACCACAATATGTGCACATAAAGTGTGACATGTTATTGCACAAAGTGGTTTGGTGGTTTGGGTTTGCTCCATCTTGCTATAATTAACATCATCTGTTTAACTTTGGCAACCACTCACACTTAAATGGTGTTCAGTTCATCCTGTAGTTGCTCACAGGAGGGGAGAGGAGTTATCAGTATGATTTTTTTATTTGTCTGTTTGCTTCCAGAAAGTCCTTAATGCTACGTTATAATCGTAACATTTCCCTTCAGCAAGGCACGGGTTTTCTTATTTTTATTTTTCTTATTTTGGATAGTGAGAAGCTGAATGGTTAAATAATTTCAAACTGAACCCAGGATGTTTTTTTTTTTTTTTAAAGCACTTCCCTGTTGTGATACATACACAATATTTGACACAGTGTGGGACCACCTGTGTGTTTTAATGGATGTATTTCTATTTCATACACTCCTGGTCTGAGAGAAGCAGGTATCAGGAGGTTGAAGGGTCGGGGAATTGGGATTCAGGTCCAGGTGTGTGGTTGATGTCAGTATGATACCTCTCCTCTCCTCACAGAGCAGACTGTCAACGTCCTTTACAAGGTCAGCCCGGTCCATCACAGTGGAAAAAAGTTTCTCTCTCCTGAGTGTCAGACTCTTTCTACTCCCCCCCCCCTTCATTCTCCTTCCCTGCACTGGGAGTCCAAAGTGTCTGCTTTAGCAGAGTGGAGATGTGCGGCTTTCCGTCCCTTGAGAACTTGGCTCCCTGTTTGTTTTTGCGTGTGCGTGAGTGAGGGGGAAACAAACAGAAAGACAGGGAGACAATTTGTGTGTGTGTGTGTGTGTGTGTGTGTGTGTGTGTGTGTGTGTGTGTGTTTGAATGGTTTCAGCAGAGCTCCAGTGAATGGGAAGCCACCGCCTGTTGTGTTTGTACACAAAGAAGCTTTTTTGTTTTCAAAGGAACAATTGAGCTTTTCACAGAGAGCACAGACAACCTCGCCGCTGCCTTAAAGGATGCTCACACACACACACACAAACACACACACACACACAGAGCCGGGTCCTTATGTCTGAGCCTGTGTCTGTCACCTTTGTCTTATTCAAAGGTAGGATAGGACACAATGCTGATGCCTCTTTTGTTCTGGCTCTTTTCAGCTTCCGTCAGATGTGAGTCTGAAGGTTGATGTGTTTTTTGAAGAACTTCTTTCCTAATCCTTTTCTAAAAAAACTTTGGACACAATAGCTCGTAAACATTGGAGAGCCCTGCGTGTGAACAAAGTTTAAGTAACAATCCTGCAGTAAATATGATTTATGTTTTAATTTGAGAGTAATGATTTTCACTGCTGCGTTAATAATACCTCTACCATGGTGTGTGACAATACATTGATTAATACCGGGGACTCGACGATTGCTTTGCCAGGTGTTTTGAGATTTCTCTGGCACCCCAATCTTCAATTTCCAGCCGAGACTTGATTTTGAAACAAGAAACTTTTCCGACCTCCCAAAAAGCCTACGCACATTTTCAACATGTTTAACAGCGAAGGATGCGGCTGGAGGAAGGCATTTAAATCTTAAAAAATGTGACCTTTAAATGATTCTGTTACTCACAGAGAGCGAAACACCTGCTGATGTCGTGGTACTTCTGCACTAAAACAGTTATTAAAGAACGATGCAGTTTTGAATACAACAACCACTTTTTTATACACACTATCTTCACTGAAGTGGCAGTACAGATATTTGTGTTTAGAAAGACAAAAGTAGACACTACAGCTCTGTAAAAATCCATAACTGACTTAGTGTATTGGGCTTTTTGTGCTTTTATTGTAGAGACAGGACAGTGGATAGAGTCAGAGTCAGGGAGAGAGAGAGAGAGAGAGAGAGAGGGGAATCAATCAGTCACTCAATTTTTATTTGAATAGCGCCGATTCATAACAAATGTTTTCTCCATACACTTTACAAAAAGCAGATAAAAGACCTTACTCATTGTTATATTATCTTCAAAGACCCAACGTTAATCCATCATGAGCGCTGAGCAGAGGTGTCAGAGGTGTTCACATTCATTACTCAGGTAGAAGTATAGATACTAGGGTTTAAAAAGACTTCTGTAGAAGTTGAAGTATCAACTCAAGTAAAAGTGTAAAAGTACTGGTTTCAAAACTACTAAAAGTATAAAAGTAAAAGTAATGTAAGGGGAAAAAATGCCATTAAGGACAAAAGCTTAGGCCGCGCCACAGGGGCCTATAGTGCACTACCCCACCTCCCCCAAAAAACATTTTTCTAAAGGCCATAATGACTATGATGTCATATTAAAATGGTAATTCTGAAAAATTTGAGCGCGATTTATCTGGATAGGTTGTTTTTTTTGCCGGAATGAAAAAGGAGTAACGAGGCTATTTTTAAAATGTAAGGAGTAGAAAGTACAGATAATTGCGTGAAAATGTAATGAGTAGAAGTAAAAAGTCGGCTGAAAAATAATTACTCCAGTAAAGTATAGACACCCAAAATTTCTACTTGAGTAAGGTAACAAAGTATTTGTACTTTGTTACTTGACACCTCTGGCGCTGAGCAACATTCACGTTACAGAGGCAAGAGAAAGCTTCCTTTAAGAGGCAGAAACCTCGAGCAGAACCAGACTCATGATGAACAGACGTCTGATGAGACTGTGTTTGAGTGGGAAAGTGAGATAGAGCGAGATGCAGGGAGTCATATCTGCCAATGCAGCATGAAACATTTGACTTGAACAAGTAAAATGTAACTTTTGAGACAGGACAAGAAAGTCGAGATGCTTCTGAGCCCGGGAAAGTCAGCTCTCTGTAAATCCATGAGCACGGTTTTACAAATCCATGAGCACTGTTTTACAAATCCATGAGCGCTGTTTTACAAATCCATGAACACGGTTTTACAAATCCATGAACACGGTTTTACAAATCCATGAGCGCTGTTTTACAAATCCATGAACACGGTTTTACAAATCCATGAACACGGTTTTACAAATCCATGAACACGGTTTTACAAATCCATGAGCGCTGTTTTACAAATCCATGAGCGCTGTTTTACAAATCCATGAGCACGCTTTTACAAATCCATGAGTGCTGTTTTACAAATCCATGAGCACGGTTTATACTCTGCGCCCACATAACTGATCTTGTAAACAAAGTGCGGAGCCAAACAAGGTAAGTTATTTAAAAAAAGTTTGTTTTTGAAATAGTGGTTTCTGGACAGAAGAAGAAGAAGCAGGTTTCAGGTCACGTTGTTGTTATTTACTGTTGCCGTCTGTCTGCAG